ATTATTATTATTATTATTATTATTATTATTATTATTATTATTATTATTATTATTATTATTATTATTATTATTATTATTTATTATTATTATTATTATTATTATTATTATTATTATTATTTTTTTTTTATTATTATTTTATTATTATTATTATTATTATTATTATTATTATTATTATTATTATTATTATTATTATTATTATTATTATTATTATTATTATTATTATTATTATTATTTATTATTATTATTATTATTATTATTATTATTATTATTATTATTATTATTATTATTATTATTATTATTATTATTATTATTATTATTATTATTATTATTATTATTATTATTATTATTATTATTATTATTATTATTATTATTATTATTATTATTATTATTATTATTATTATTATTATTATTATTATTATTATTATTATTATTATTATTATTATTATTATTATTATTATTATTATTATTATTATTATTATTATTATTATTATTATTATTATTATTATTATTATTATTATTATTATTATTATTATTATTATTATTATTATTATTATTATTATATTATTATTATTATTATTATTATTATTATTATTATTATTATTATTATTATTATTATTATTATTATATTATTATTATTATTATTATTATTATTATTATTATTATTATTATTATTATTATTATTATTATTATTATTATTATTATTATTATTATTATTATTATTATTATATTATTATTATTTTATTATTATTATTTATTATATATTATTATATTATTATTATTATTATTATTATTATTATTATTATTATTATTATTATTATATTATTATTATTATTATTATTATTATTATTATTATTATTATTATTATTATTATTATTATTATTATTATTATTATTATTATTTATTATTATTATTATTATTATTATTATTATTATTATTATTATTATTATTATTATTATTATTATTATTATTATTTTATTATTATTATTATTATTATTATTATTATTATTATTATTATTTATTATTATTATTATTATTATTATTATTATTATTATTATTATTATTATTATTATTATTATTATTATTATTATTATTATTATTATTATTATTATTATTATTATTATATTATTATTATTATTATTATTATTATTATTATTATTATTATTATTATTATTATTATTATTATTATTATTATTATTATTATTATTATTATTATTATTATTATTATTATTATTATTATTATTATTATTATTATATTATTATTATATTATTATTATTATATTATTATTATTATTATTATTATTATTATTATTATTATTATTATTATTATTATTATTATTATTATTATTATTATTATTATTATTATTATTATTATTATTATTATTATTATTATTATTATTATTATTATTATTATTATTATTATTATTTATTATTATTATTATTATTATTATTATTATTATTATTATTATTATTATTATTATTATTATTATTATTATTATTATTATTATTATTATTATTATTATTATTATTATTATTATTATTATTATTATTATTATTATTATTATTATTTATTATTATTATTATTATTATTATTATTATTATTATTATTATTATTATTATTATTATTATTATTATTATTATTATTATTATTATTATTTTATTATTATTATTATTATTATTATTATTATTATTATTATTATTATTATTATTATTATTATTATTATTATTATTATTATTATTATTATTATATTATTATTATTATTATATTATTATTAATTATTATTATTATTATTATTATTATTATTATTTATTATTATTATTATTATTATTATTATTATTATTATTATTATTATTATTATTTATTATTATTATTTATTATTATTATTATTATTATTATTATTATTATTATTATTATTATTATTATTATTATTATTATTATTATTTATTATTATTAATTATTATTATATTATTATTATATTATTATTATTATATTATTATTATTATATATTATTATATTATTATTATTATTATTATTATTATTATTATTATTATTATTATTATTATTATTATTATTATTATTATTATTATTATTTATTATTATTATTATTATTATTATTATTATTATTATTATTATTATTATTATTATTATTATTAGATTTGCAACAATATTGGTACTTCATTATGATATGCAAGATCATGATTATGCTAATAGTTTTATTTCAAAATGTTAATTTTTTTTTAAAGACAAAATGTTAAATTTTAATATGTAAACAAACTAATTTAAATTTTACAAGGTTGCAAAAATCGCGCCTAGGCGCTAGGCGCCCGGCCGCCGCCTCGAAGAAGGCCGGAATCGGCCTCCTCCGCGGCCGACCGGCTAGGCGGTCTAGGCGGCTGCCTAGCCGGCTAAACCGGCGATTTAATTTTTTTTTTTTTTTGTTGCGTTTTAAATTGCGAAAAGTTCGGGAAGGCATAACTTTTGACTCGGTTGTCCGTTTTGGACAATTTTTTTTTGAAATCGTGTATTTTTTCGAGATCCATCCACCGCAAGGGTCCACTAATTTTTCAAAAAAATGCTTCTTTAGCTCTTAATTTTTTTTATGTATTTTGATGGTTTAAACAATCTTTTGAACAATTTAACAACCACTTTCGTAAATAATTTCTGAGAAATAACTATGAAAACCTTATGTTTTATTTCTAAATTTTAAAAAATTTTAATTTTTAATTAAAAAAAAATCGGCGCCTAGGCGCCCCCTTGCCGCCTAGGGGGCGCCTAACGTGTTTTGCAACATTGAAATTTTATGAAGATGTCCTTTTTAGTCTTTTTACATTTATCAACTTATCAAAAAGCTAATTTTACCAAACACTTTCAATCATAACAGCTCTTCAGTTTTCAGCTCCGAGCTTATAGCTTTTCAGCTTTCAACTCCTTTTCAGTTTTCAGCTTCGAGCTTATAGCTTTTCAGCTAGGTTTGCCAAACAGAGCCTTAATATAGTACTCAATAAGCTAATACATAACGTTTTAGTGCTCATGTGGACCCAGATTGTATGTAATTTTATTTTATTTTATTTTTATTTGTTTTTAAATTTTAATGTTTTGATTAAAAAAAGCTACAATAATCATATAGTCATTCGGCTTTGAGGAACTATTTCTATTAATTCTTCTAAAAGGTTGAACCACAACCCGAACCCGACAGAGCATTTGGGAGGATGTAAATCATGGCGACTCAATTGAACATGAACCACAGAGGCTAGACCGGTGTTCACTGCGCACAAGGAGTCCCCCTCACTTTGAGAGGTTGCTCCCACACTGCCGCTGGTGAGACTCGACCCCTGGTCATTCTATTAATGGACCAGTTGAGCTACCCATGCAGAGGAACTATTTCCATTAATGGACAACCAAGTGGCTGTCCAATTCCCCTCTTAGTGACCAAGGCCGCTTAGCCCCACATTCATTTGCAAGATTTAGACCTCTTTGGGTCCAAATCTTGATAGTATGGCTATGTTAGTTGGGAATTAAAAAAATTGTATAATATAACTTTGTTATTTTGATATAATTTGAAAATATAGAATTATTTGAATCTTTAAATATAGATTAATATAAATAATCTTTAAAAAAAATTATATTCAAATATATTTTTCATTAAATTTAATATATATTAATTAATTATGTTAGGGCTCACGCCTCTAGGTTAGAAGACCGGTGTGCCGATTGAATAACTGTTTGGCTAACAATCCAATCAATTAAAAATTTCATTTTTGGGTAAAAAAAGTTTAATTATTTTAATTAAAATAACGTAACCTTATAAAATCCAAAAATGGCTAAAAGTTAAATTAAAATAAAAATTTAAGTTAATGAAAATTAAAATCAAGTTCAATAAAATTATAAAAATCAAATACATCATGAAGTACTAATCGCTATCATAATCAACATCGTGATCATGGCAACAAGTGAAAGTTAAAAACTTTTGCATACGGCGGGAGCATTCAGGACATCTTTCATTTTCAGGAATTTTGCTCAATGTAATTGGATATTCAAGGGTACAACAAGAATGTTTATTCTTGGAAAGCATCTCATGGTGGTCTTTGAATGCCTGGCCAAAACTTTTGGTAGCGGCTATGTTTTCCTTCCAAATCTCACAGTCATTCATGGCTTGCAACATTTTACTTCCATGTCCACAGACAACCACTTCTGATCCTTTGCTTAACAAGGTCCATCCTTCAGTTGTTGCATTATTGGTTTCATAAGACAATAGTTTTTTGAGTCCTTGCAAAATTTCATCATTGTTGTATTCTTTGACAAGGTGATTAGTCATTTCTAAATATTGAATTCTTGACAAAAACATACTTCGAAGACGGGCCCAAAACCACCATACTCCAAAAGAATTATCCAATGCGCAATGACTCATTCTTTCTTTATTAATGATTCCTCTTATCATTTTGTTTTTTCCAATGTAGGCCAACTCAAAGTTCATTTGGGTTTTGGAGGCAACTTCACGTACCTTGAAAATGAATTCTCGAATCCATTTAATGTTGTTTCCTCCATATAAGAAAATATATTTTCCCTCACGAATCTGAAAAGAAAAACATATATATTAGCTAATTGATATATAAATAATCAAATATATATATATATATATATATATATATATATATATATATATATATATATATATTGGTTCCTGTGAGGTCATGTCTTCCCGTGCGGTCAGTGCGGCATACACCATTAGGTATGTATAAATGCACCATACAGTGTTCGAAAATACACCAGAATGAAATGTCAAAAAATACACCACACACCAAAAAAATACACCACACATAATGGTGTATTTACAAACACTGTGTGGTGCATTTTTGCATACCTAATGGTGTATGTCGCACTGACCGCACGGGAAGACCTGACCTTACAAGAACCTGACCATATATATATATATATATATATATATATATATATATATATATATATATATATAAAATACAAAGTAACTTGAATGTGGGGTTACCCAATCATTTATTGGTGTGCCAATTGTATAATAGAGGCGGCCAGATTGTGGTGCCAGAAGATGAAGTGTCCAAGCAGTTTGTTGTTGCCACAAAAATTTCTCCTTTTCGCTGTCATACGGTGTAAATTGTGCTGTCTGATGATAAATGGAAATAAGGTAATTAATTAATGTTATAAAATGCTTATATTGCTAGCTGCAATCTTGAAAGAAAAAGAAGAATATATGATAATACGGTATAAATGAATCAAAAAGTAGAAGGTAGTAGTGTACCACTTCTTCAATTATGTCTTCAACATCCATTATCCAAGCATTTATCTGTGAATCGATGTTACGTACCAAATCCCTTGTCATTGAGTCAATTTTAGGTCCCACATGCCGGGATTCCGAACTTGCTTCAATGCCGTAAATTCCTTGCTTCAACTCGTTTTGTATGATAAGACTTATGTTATGTGGTACGACATTTACCCCTATTGTATCTTTTTTAATATAATCGAAGGTCCAGGTGAGCATCATGTGGAAGACATTTGAGTGAACAATTCTTCCTCGTGGGTCAAGTGAAACAATTATGGGTTCCTCTCCCCATCTCATTTTAAACAACTCTTCCTTAACAAATCTTGTGAATTGTGGGCTTATCATTTTTTGTGGATCATTCAACCAAAAGAACCTCATCTTGTTTCTTAATTGATCATACTCAGTGCTCCATGATGCATCATCCTGTGTGATTGGGATCCAAATAATATCTGCTATTGAGTTGCGGTGAAACCAATTTAAAAAATGAATCCATTCTTTAGGGACGGCAACACCTGATGTTATTAGCAGCATCACTAATGTCTCTTTCCAACCCCTTAATTCCGCCTAACATATAAACAGAAATATAAGAATGGAATGCAATTAAGCCTAATAATTCTTAACCCAATCAATTATCTTCCCTTAGCCAAAAACTCCACCCAATTGAGTATACACACCGTACCATAATAGCAATAATTAGGACATGATTGCCTGCATGGCAGTTCAGTTAATCACAGGAGTGAAGTTTGAGAATAATGACTAAGGATCGAGTCTGACTAATAACAATAATGTGGAATTAACCTCTTAAAGTGAGAGAGACTCCTATATTTTTTTGAAAATTACTGACACAAAGAACCAATAATGCCTCCACTGAGACTTGAACTCATAATCTTCCAAATGGAAGTCCAACCCGGACACCATTAGACCACATAGTCCTGGTAGAAAGACTCCTATATAATTGTACTACAATTTTAAAATTTACATTACATATATTAGTTAGATGAAATAGTTCTAGTAAATCCAAATATTTTTTTTTAATTCTAGTAAATCCAAATATAATATAATTAATAAAACAAATCTAGTTCAATAATTTTTTTTTTTTAAAAAAAACAGTAGTACTGCCGTAGTAATAGTATGGAATTATATTGATCGAAATATATGGCTGTTTAGATTCAAAACCTTACCATATGATGCATTCCCCAATAATGAAAACATATTATCTCATGATCATCTTTGACATTAAACATTAATTTGTAAACTTCGAAGTTATTAGAAGAGCCGTGATATAATGCATTTCGCAATGCTTCATAAGATTCCTCCTCCTTTTTCTTTGCTGCATATATTCATATGAAAAAACAATGTATTAATATGTGTGTGTATATAATCTTCAATAAATAAATCAAATGCGTAAATATTTGGCAACGTAGCTTTACCTATAAAATCAACTAACCTAGTTCTGCAGAGAAAGTAGCCATTAAGGTGGTTATTTCCCTATGTTCATTTTGAACCCTGTAACAACAACAACAATAATAATAAGCTAGTAAATTATGTAATTGTGGGCGATTTCTTTTGTGAGATGGGTCGAGATAAAAAAAATATAATACTTATGTTGTGATCGAAAATGTAATACTAATTAGAAATTAAAAAAATGTATAAATCAGTAATATTTATGGATTGAACAATTACTCATAAAAAATTAATTATAATATTAATCATAAATAAATTAAATGATTGTAACTAATGAAAGAAAATGTAATACTTATGAAAAATTAGACTCGTCTTACGGAATCACATATTTTGTTCATGAGGTACTATACTATCAGAAGGTATGTTGTAGGTAAACCTTACCTTGTGACCCTAATAAATCTTATCTTGTGATCCTAGTCGCATCGGTAAAGGACTATATAGAGAGATAAACTAGTACAGATTTTCTGTAACTAACCGACTAAAACCAAGAACACGTACTAATAGTACATTATATTGACATTAACTAATAATGAATATATCAAAACATTAAATCTTACTTGAAGCGAGGGTCACAGGGATAGGCGGAACAATTAACAATATTTCTGCCTATCCAATAGGCAACCATTGGCAAGGCCGAAATGACAGATTGTGGAGGGGAGTAAGATAGGCATTCTTTGAGCTCAACCACACATTTGGTGAGTTGTATGGCTGAACTTATGCAATCCTCAATTTCTCTTTGGTTGTTATTGTGGGAGGATAATGGTGTTGGAATTGGACAATGACTACTTTGTTTCAGATGTGCCAACTTCCAGGCTAATCCTTTGCCTTTTTGCAGTAGTCGTGAAATAAGGATGAATTCTCCATGGATTATGGAGAAAGCTGCAATCATAAGGACTAACTTATCCTCCCATGAATATGGAGACAAAATGCTCAGTACATGAATTGTGGTGGAGTGTCCATTTGCAATTGCACCGGAAGCTATCTGAAAATTAAATAACCAAAAATATAATAGAGCCATCCTATCAGTCATTGCAAACATTTTACTATACATTTTGATCATCTATCATATATATATAGTCCCAATCGATCCCAAGAATCTAATCACACCTCGAATGAAAGTTGTTTGATATGAAGTGGAAGTTGCTTGTAATTATCGAGCTCTTCTAGTTGAGTCAACTCCTCCACCATGGCTTTTTGAGCAGTACCCTGCAGATCCATCCCCATAGTACATAAATTTTTCATTTAAAAATAAAAACCAAAGCCTTCTTCAAACAATTATATTATTATACGACATGCATATATGGATTAGTTGTATAGTACCACAATCTAATAACTACTTTTGTTTGTAGGCCGTAAAGTCAAACATAAAATAGTTTTAAGATATCATGAAGTGATAAGTAGAATGATAAACCATCTCAAGGCTGAGAGCCTTTTCTGCCATGTTCAAAATGGCATTGGTGTTAAATTCTCTACCATCATAGTTGTGCGTCGACAAAACCTGTTCCCTAATTATACTCTCATCAACAGGTTGGCTGCTTAGTGATGTGAGCATTATTGTCGGTTGTGAAATTCTTCTCTGGGATACAAGTACACTTGTTTGGGCTGCCATATATATATAATTAGCTACTTGTGGGGAAAATGAGCTGAGGGTGGTTTGTGACGGTTTATGACTAAGATTGATACATATCATCAGTCACCAAAACATCACTTATATATAATAGCATTTGGAGTAGAAATGGAGGAGAAGAATCGAAATGCCCATCAGATAATCAAAAAGCTAAAGAAAGCAAAATTATTCTTATCCTTCAGTGCACTCCAATCCTCCAAGAATGCATGCCCAGATCGATGCTCACTGCTAGTAAAGCTAAGCTTAGCTTGTTATTCCATGCATCTTTTTCCTTTACATTTGTCTGTCCTTTTTTTTAGTAACTAGAGAAACTTGTAGATATATTATCTGAGGGTACAATGCGTGTATATTGAATAATGCTTTGTAATCCTAGACGACAAACAACCACAAAAAGTTAAATGAGTCTAAATTTTTTATAACTGAGTGACTCAAATCAATTAAAAAAGGGAATAGACAGCTCCTGATAAAATTAAACTTATAACCTTTAGTTACCTGCAAGTCAATAGTTTCATCAAGTGTGGCTGCCCCACATTTGTTCCGTCTTTGTTGCTTCTGTCCAGTACACCTAATGAGACACGCAACTTCAATTTAGACTCTACAGATTCTCATATCATCTTTACGCCTGTCTGAAGTGCATGTGCAATTTCGTATATATTGACAAATGCCTAATCTGTAGAAAAGATTTCCCACCAAATTAAGTTTTATATATTTTCATTTCTTTCTGATCTCATAATTAAAAAAATAGTGTTAATTACATTTTTGATTCTAGATTTATAGGTGGCAATCCGCTTTATGTCATTTTTTTTAAAAGCATCCAGTTTTAATCCTAGTATTATTATGGCATTACCATTTTAGTCATTCATCAACAAAACAGTTTAAATTTCGTCAAATACAAGAGCATTTCAGTCTTCAATTTTGATTATCTGAGGGTACGGATGTTGTTTGCTCTAGCTGTATCACATAACTGGACCTTACATCAATTGGATGTCCATAATGCCTTCCTTAATGGACATCTAACTGAGACTGTTTATATGAAACAACCACCAGGCTATGAAGATCCGACTAATCCTGGTCATGTGTGTCACCTACAGCGTTCTCTCTACGGCTTGAAACAAGCACCGCGGGCCTGGTTCAAGCGTTTACACGATTTTCTATTGTCTGCAGGGTTTAATTCGTCAAAAACAGATGTGTCTTTATTCTACTACACGTCGGGGGATGCACGGGTGTTCTTACTTGTGTATGTTGACGATATTATAATGATGGGAAACGACTCGGCTCTAGTCACCACTTTATTACAGCGTCTGGTTTCTGCTTTTAAAATTCGTGATCTCGGCAGTCCACGGTTTTTCTTGGGTATAGAAACAGTTCCTACTCAGAAGGGTATTCTATTATCACAACGCCGGTATATGACTGATCTACTTGAGCGGTCTGGGATGGCTGACTGTAAGCCACTAACTACACCGGCTGCTATCACAAAGTCAGTTATATCCGCAGATGAGTTACACGACAATCCTACTCAATATCGCCGTTGAAAAAGCACGTGAATCTTGAATGCAAGATATAACCTTTAAAACCTTTAATTTATTTCAATTATAAAGCTGGACTAGAAGACATCATATTCCAGATATAATATATAACATGAAATAAATAGCAGTAAAAGAAAGCATGCACCAGGATATGTTCACGCAGTTCGGAGCCTCACTCCTACGTCTGCGGGGCCACTCACATCAACCCAAATCCACTATGATGAAAAACGGAGTACAAGAGGATAGTTAATTACACTCTACAGTATAACCTATAACTACTCCAGAGCCTACTCCAGTGGATTCGATGTGCAGGCGTTCTTCATTTCTTCATGATCTGATTGCAAGATCTTCTTCACACACAACAGTACAGATTATATTCGGTATGGATGCACCAAGATTTCAGTGTAAGACTTTGTGAAAGAGTGCACAAATCAAATGCTAATTAAGGTAGCATTATATATAGGTTGTAAATGATGTTTTGATCCTCAAAGTATGCACTCTTCCATTCCTTGAATTCGGCTGCTCCATTAGATCTAGATCTCCCCATTAATAGGGTCTTGAATAAATACTTTGAACAAGCTTTTTACCTCCTGGATAACTTCCTTGCGCTGATCCAGTCAACTACTCCAGACGTGTGACTAATCCAGCAACTAATCCAGAACTACTTTGACAACTAATCTAAGCCAATAAAACAGAGGTTTAAATGTGCAATATATTTACACTTACAATCTCCCCCTTTGGCTATTAGTTGACAAAACTACTAAAAGATATCATCGGCTTTAAAATGAATTGCCAAATGAATAATCTATACAAAAGAGATCGGATTAGTCACTAGTCAAGAGTAGCTAGACACACACCCTCTTTAAACTTAACCAATGTTGTGCCAGAGAAGATCAAACACAATTAAGGCATACAAACACATGATCACAAGAAAACACAGAACACATATATATCACATAATATAGCTGCATATCATTTTATCACATAGTCAAGATAAAACACGTAGCACATTAACACATATAAAAGCAAAAACAATCACTGGCACTTATGGCTAAGTTAAAAAACAAACGTACTCCCCCTTACTACGTGCACTCCCCCTTTTTGTCAATCTAATGGACAAAGAGCAGCATTAGGACTGGGTGGAGGAGGAGGAGGTCTCCAAGTCTTCGTCATCACCAGCAGGAGCATCAGTAGGAGCAGCCTCAATAGCGGCAATCTGGCGATTTGCGCGAAGTAGCTGAGCCTCGGCAGTAGAGATCGAAGATTGAATGGCAAGAGATGCATCTTTCATTGTAGCAATGTGTGAAGTGAGAAAGGTAACTTGCTGTCTTAGAACAGACAGTGTCGAAGCAGAGTCAGCAGCAGAAGTAGTCGATGCAGAGGCCATGCCAGTTGCTGGAGTATTCTCTGGAGCAGGGGCAGGTGGAACTGAGGAGAGAGTGGCCCGATCATCAAAGTGGGATTTTTGGAAGATGCGAGAGTCCATAGAGGTTTTGTGAGTAACATGACAGAGCTCTTCATTGGAATAGAGTTGAAGCCCTTGTTGTTGCAAGATACCCGTGATAAGGCAAGGAAATGGTAGATGAATCTTGGCTTCTTTCTTCTTGGAAAAACCCATGATGTGATGATAGATGAGATGACCAAGATCAATAGGTAGCTGATGTCGAACCTTGTATAACAGAGAGGCCATCTTCTTATTCACAGTGTGCACAGAAACATTAGGGATCCAATTGCTAGAAGCTAGGCGAAAGAGAACCGAATAGACTGCAGTAAGTACATTCGAAGGCAGGCCATCCTTTGGCCAAACGTTGATCTCATTGTGTGTGAGATGGGATGCAAGAAAGTCCCCAGCAGGATCAAACAGATCATCACACGCATCACGCTGAAAATAAGAGTTAATAATAGAGGGGCTAAAATCATACCAAGTATCCCGGAGAAAAACTTGATGATAGTGTGGAGAGGCCGGTCGAAGAGAATTAGACGTGAGATTGGCGTAGAACTCTGGGATAAGCCAGGCAGAGTAAGCTCCCACATTCTGGATGGTTTGAAGAAGATTCTGAGCTCTAAGCAAAGGAATGATATTGCACACGCGAATGAGGTATTCAATACTAAAATTTTTCTCAACCAAGATATCGCGATTTGAGTGCTGCTGCCATACTGTTTCCAATGCAGGGGAGAGTAAGATAGGTCTGAACAAGGTCTCCTTGGACACCTTAGCAGTCTTGGACTTGGATGATGCAGCTGTCTTTGAAATAGGAGCAGAGGCTGGAGAAGAAGCTGGAGGAGGAGCCGGAGTAGACACGCCAGTTTTCGATCGTGTACGCTGAGCAAGACCCGTAGGCCGATGTTCAGACCGTTTGCTAGGACGAGATTCAGAGACAAATTCAACATCCTCGGACATGTGTAGCTTTCTCTTAGCCACTGGAGCTGCTGCAGGTGCTTCATCTGGATCAGTGATTTTGGCTTTCCCTTTGGCCTTTGTAAACGGCACCCTGATAACTGGAACGGCCGTTTCAGCACGGGCAGTGTTTGGCATATTTGCAATGGTGTCTGAGATGATGGCTGCTTGAATGGATGGATCCTCAGGCTCAGAGACTATGTCCCGAATCGAAACCTCAACATCCTCTGGAACAGATACTGGAACAGAGACGGGATTATCTATAACTGGATCTGAGGCTGGAGTTGTGACTGGATCATGCGAATGCTCAGCCTTTTTGGAAGTGGCCTTGTCCGTGTTTTGAAGTTGGGAACCTGTGAAGGGAATTGCAGACAGAGGCACAATAGACAAACCAGCAGAGGGATCCTAATTTCACAAGGCAATAACACAATCTCAAAACAAGCATACCATAAATTGAGGCAAAAAAAACAGATTTTAGGCATAAAAACAACAATCATAGATAATAAGGGCATAATAACCAAAATAAAACAAAAAAAATGCAATGCATGCCTAAATTAACAAGCAATAAGACATTGCTCCCTAAGAGATTAGAGAAATCAAACCGTAGATCGAGCCCACAATTGCCGAGCCTGAAGATCTCCATGAAGAAGTTCCTCATCCAAAATTTCATCAAGTGGCCATGGGTCATCCGTGATCCCTGACGCTCTAGAGAATATCTCCTTTGAGTCCTTCACAGATAGCTCCTCCATCAAAGCTGGGTGTCGAAGAAGTGTTGCAAGAACCCGGCGAGCAGAGATGTCCGAAATCGGAGCTGTTCCTCGAAGAATCTGACGATAAAGATCAAGGCGCTCATCTTCCGTGAGGTAAAAAAGGAATGGATTAAGGTCAGAATGGCTTTCCATATTTGTGATAGGCAAAATCGATTCGGAGGAAGAAATTTGCTAGGATTCGAAAAGCTATGGAAGGTGAGAGAGTTTTTACAGGAAGGGGAGAGTGATTTTAGGGATTTGATTCGATTAATTGGGGTAGAATACGGTAGTGTATAACAGCTAAGAGAGAGAAAGAAATAGAAAAAATTATTATTTAGTGCGGTCAAAGAGGCTTATTTCCCGGTCTGGTGAGCGTACTGGAGCAGAAATCATATCTGGAGGATTT